TAAGAGCGATGGCCTCCAACCTATATAGTAGGGATGCCCTCCAACCTTCTCGCTTCTTGCTACTGTCCAAAACACTCCGTGAGATACGACGGCTGCGGTGAAGCATCCGCCGTTGCGCTGAGGGCCTGACAATGCTCGCCTGGATGCAGCTGTGATGCGTCTCTCACAGTCTCTGAAAGAGCGGCAGCATCTTTGGCATCGTTGGTCCATGTCACAGTGCTATGAATTTGAAGCCTGTAAATCTCGCACCAATGGCAGGAGCTCATCTACTGCCTGCAGCCACATAGCTCAAGAGCTTCAGCTCTGTTTATTGTACATAGCTTCATCTCAAGAGCTTCAGCTCTATTTCTCGAGGCCCTTGCTTTGAGATTCAGCTTCACTGCATCGAGCAGGGTGATGAAGTTTTCGGATGCCTCGGATCCGAAGCGGTCAACCCTGCTGAAAGAGATCGCAGTTGGTCAACCCTTGTTACTAGCGATGCCAGGAGCCCCTGGTCGCTTCTTGTTCCTAGTAGTAAGGCCAGGAGCCCCTAGTAGCTTCTAGCTACTCATGGCGATGCCCTTGTTACTAGTCGCTAGGCCGCTAGGACCGCCAGGAGTGGGTTTAGAGACTTGTGCCATTTCGCAAGCGAAACATCAGCGGACGAGCTTTTTTCGCCCGGGCCTTGAAGCAAGCAAGGCTCTCCTTGCCCGTCGCGGCCTGTCCACCGAAAAGTGCCTCAAAACAATTCATCTGAAGAGTCGCTTTCTTCACGGAGTCAGGGAAAGGCTGCTACTGGAAAGGCTGCAAGTGATGCAGGTCGCTTTCTGAACATGGTTTACACGTAAGGCGCCAAATGCTCATATCCACAAGAGGTTTGGGCATCCAGGAAAATCACCCCCAATACAACAACTCAAGAGACTCACACTTCATGCAAAACAGAACAGAAGTGCTTGTAGCTAGTATCTGCTAGTAGTTGCTATAGGAATACCATCATCATCATCATCATCATCATCATCATCATCATCATCATCATCA